GGACAAGATTAATAATTGATGAGCTTGGTGATCATTTACTCAAGTGTAAAATATTAACAGGTGATAAAATTGGAGATATTGTTTTTTTAAATAGAATAACACTATATTGTGAAAACGTTTATCCTTTCACTTTTTCAAGAAGACAATTTCCGATAAAATTAGCATTTGCAATAACGATTAATAAATCTCAAGGACAGACATTCGAAAAGATTGGAATCGATCTTCGTAAAGATGTATTTAATCATGGACAACTTTGTTGCTTTATCACGTGTCCGTTCTTTACAAGATATAAAAATTTATTTAGGCAAACAAAGAGAAAACAGATTAGTTAAAAATTATGTGTATAAAGAAATGTTTGTTTAAAATATTCATTGAAAAAAAGAAAGGAATATATTAGATTAATTCAATAATAATAATTTGATAATATTTAAGTATATAATTAAACTTAATTTAAAATATAATAATTTATTACGTTTAATGAACATTTTTCATTAATAAGTCTTTTGTAGATTTACATGTGTTATTGTAGCATTATTTATATAAATCTGCTTATCATCATATATTAAATTGACTATTAATTAATAATAAAGTGTTAACATTCCAAAATAAATTAGGTAGAAGATCCGCCTATAACCATTTTTATCGTTATTTATATTTGTGATATTTACTGTAACAATCTAGATTTACTGTAGTATCATTATAAATTTTTCTACTTAAGTGCCATTTTAATATCGACAAAACGTAAAAATAATTCAAACAATCAAATTATATTACACAATGATTACATTCGACTATGACCAAATTTTTTTTACAAGAAGGAGAACATACTTCGTTTTCACGATAAAATTCGTTTTTATAACCTATATCTTGTCACTTCGGCTTCTGTTTTAACCTATTCCTACGGCAGTTCGTCATAATTGCATCACAATTTGATATGCTACGAACTTTATTCGAAAAAAGGGTGTGCTATGATTGTGCCGCCGAAGTCTACGCAATTGTGAACGATCTTGCGCGCCTGCACGAATGGGCAACCCGTCATACTGATCTGTATGTTGGTGCAACACCCTGTACGTGAGGCGCGAGAGCTTGTCCTTTTTAAGGCTGCGTTCGGATTCCCACCCGGGTGCTCCTCGGGTGTCATGTCTTCCTTGTTTAACGTTTGGTAACCTACAAGGATGATATGACGGGGAGCACCCAAGTGGGAATCTGAACGCAGCTCAAGGCAAGATGAGAAGAATATAGCGGTGAAAATGAAAAGCACAGAGCGAGTGGAGATTTAGTATGTTGTTTTCCAAACAAAAATAAGCGACACGTATTTTTGTATACGAGCCCATACGCACTTTTAGGCGGTAAAAGACCTTTTAGAAAAATATCGGTTTTTCTCTTTCGAAGCGAATATCATCAGAACTGTAAGAAATAGAAAAAAATTTTCAGAATGGAAATTGAATGGCTTTAAGAGTATTATAGAATTCGCTTCAAAAAAATATTCTCATATTCCGTTAACTATTGCGAAAATTACAAAATGATAGAGGAATTTGATTCAGTTTAGTTCGCTCTACCTGCCCACAAGATTATGCGGACATTACCAGACACCCTATATACATACAATTATATATGAATATTGCACTAGTTTACAGTACATTACTTCGCATCGGATTCGAATGTTAAAAGCGATGCCGTAAGCCAAAAAATTTCAGTGTTAGGTTTTCAACATAATTAAGTTTTAATGTTTAAAAAATGGCATTTTTTACGACATTTGACATACTATGCTTTTATAAAGAAGGTTAACGTCATGAAATTCCAATTAAATTTGTTGTTATATGAATGTATTGTTCATGTTCTATAAAATACAGTTTTTAAAATTTCGAAATACCTTATATACTCTTTGCAGTCGTCTTACGAAGAATTTAAATACAGGATTTTTTGAGATATAAATTTTTCACTTGTGACGTTGAAGTCGTATAGAATTCTAATTTGTGGCTATCGAGAATCATACAAATCACATAATTTTTTTTAGAAATGTGTGCTTTTAGATAATTCGAGGAGAGTATAATTAAATCATGATTTATATAAAGATAAATCATCTGATATAAATCATGATATCAGACGTATGTGCGTGTGTGTGTGCGTGTGCTCGTTCGAAAGTACATGCGATTACGAACATTTTGAGCCCTGAAACGATTTTTTTGGTCGTAACACATTTTGGGCATCGCTCTGTCTCAGTTGACGTGGAATGTCCCATATATATTTAGCGAAATCTATAATAATAAATTACATTGTATGTATCGATAGTCACAAACTAGAAATTATAAGTATAATTATAAATATAATGATAAGTATAATTATATAACATTTCATTGTCAAAGGCGGAAAATTTACTATCTTAGAAAAACTTTGTACTTGAATCTTTTGTAACGTGACTAAAAAGTAAGATATAAGAAATAAAAAAAAAACGTTTTGTAGAGGATGAACAGTACATTCATAAACAATATAAATTATTTAAAAAGCATGAACCACGAAAGCCTGTTATAAATGGCTGAAATAATATATATATTTGATCATTTACAATAATAGACGTTTCGGTCCTAAAATTGGACCTTCTTCAGTATTACAATAAATTAATAATAGAAAGATACAGAAATTCTCAATTTATAAATCCTGAACAATTAAACATATTGAGTGTCAATATAAAATATTATACCATATACTTAAAATTACGAAATAATTCGGTCAATATTCATCTTCGTTCCACAATGATTTTATTTATGAACACACATCCTGACCATGCAGCAAAGTGTCACCAAATTCCATGATAAGCACTTTGCTGCATGGTCAGGATGTGTGTTCATAAATAAAATCATTGTGGAACGAAGATGAATATCGACCGAATTATTTCGTAATTTTAAGTATATCATATTTTATATTGACACTCAATATGTTTAATTGTTCAGGATTTATAAATTGAGAATTTCTGTATCTTTCTATTATTAATTTATTGTAATACTGAAGAAGGTCCAATTTAGGACCGAAACGTCTATTATTGTGTAAATGATCAAATATATATATTATTTAAGCCACTTATAACAGGCTTTCGTGGTTCATGCCTTTTAAATAATTTATATTGTTTATATTCTTACCACGTTTTGAACTCATATTGTTTAATACATTCATAACTTCTGATTATAATTTCAAGACGACGTTAATCTTTTTTTTTATAAAAACTTCTTTTAAATATCACAAATAAAGAGCCATTTTTGCACATTAAACCTCAATTATTTCGAAAACCTGACATGCTAGTGAAATTTAACTTGCGGCATCATCTTCAGTATCCAAAAATCTATAAGAAACACCTTATCTGCAGTGGTAAAAATGTGATACGTGTAGTTCACATTTATATTTATAAAATTGGCTGCGTTCAGCAGAACACAACAGTTTTGCAACCGTTTTATGATTCTCTGCTGAGATTGGACCATTCCTCTTGATCTAAAAGCATAACCCAATCAGCGCGAAGAAAACTTCCAACGGTTGCAAAATAAACGTTCTGCTGAACGCAGCCATTGATGTTGGCTTTCGCCTATCGCACAAAAAAGGCCACCATAGCCTCTCTCAGGTTTCTCTCTGCTCTCGTACAAGTCGAAAAAAAGAGAACATATTAAGGAAAATCTTGTTGGTAGGTATAAAGATTGTTAATTTAGAGAAATTATAATGGCTGTGAAGGTCTCGATTTGGCTCATATAATATTCCCAATTAAAATAAATCATCTATGACTCCAAAGTCGTTATTAAAAGTCCATTACTTTTCGATTATTTATGATTTATTTTAGCATTATTTTAACGTGATTTGTTATTCTGCTTTGGTTAAGAAAAACGTCTTACAATTTTAACATGTGTAAGATAACTTTAAGAATTTTGCGTTAAGTCTCTTGATAAGTTTACTCCGAAGGTTACTGTCAGGATGATAGCGGGAACGGAGTAAAGTATGAGGGTATAGCTTTAATAAATCAGCTTCATTGATTGCATAGAAATAAGGTCTAAGTATTTATTCACACTTCCACTCTGTCTTTACATAACTAATGTCACGTATGACTAACGCGACTTTAACGAGGCGTGCGCCGGTCGTCTAATTGTTTCCTTCGGCGGAAACTGATTTGCGGAGCTTGCTTTGCAACCGCCGAATTGGCTTGCGCCCGAAAGTCGAGTATAATAACGCCCGACCGAAATAACGACTTCTCTGACTCGAGTTTGGTGCACGACTGACGAAGTTGTTTTCGACGGTTCGTCTCGGTTATTCGTATGGTCTCGATTTGGCTCATATAATATTCCCAATTAAAATAAATCATCTATGACTCCAAAGTCGTTATTAAAAGTCCATTACTTTTCGATTATTTATGATTTATTTTAGCATTATTTTAACGTGATTTGTTATTCTGCTTTGGTTGAGAAAAACGTCTTACAATTTTAACATGGCAATATGTGAGTTTTTCTAATCTTATATATCGACAAATCTAATCCTTAATAATTTTTTTATTTATATTTTTAATTATATTTGTTTATTATGTACATATTTGTAAATATATTGTAATTAATACAATCCAGGCATATTAATTTTTTACTCAACTTTGATCTATAATCTAATTTCTTGTTTTATACGATTTTTACATTTACGTTAAATCAGAATAGGTTATGTATCGTGTCGTATTTTTAATTTATTTTATGAGTGTTATACAGAAATTATATTATGTATAAATAGTTGAAATTGTAATTTTAAACACATTTAATTAATGTTCTGTGTATCGTTAATTATATTTCAGTCTGTTAAAGGAACGTTTCTCGTGTACGTTAATTATATTTCAGTCTGTTAAAGGAACGTTTCTCGTGTACGTTAATTACAACTTATTGTCAACCATAAATATTTTATATAAGTGATATAGTTGAATTCATAAATATGGAAAAAATTAAAGGAAAATCGGAAAACAGTTTTGTTTATATTTATGAAGGATATATTTATAACATGGACAAACGTTTACGAAGTACATACAGATGCTCTACTAGACGCATCACTGGATGTCGTGAATTAGCAGTAGTTAGTGAAGATGATAAAGTGACCGTTAAAACTTTACATGATCATCCACCTAATCATGTAAGAATACAAAAATATGCATTACAACAGGAGATGTTACACTTATCACAAGTGACATTACTAACTTCTAAAGATATTTTTGATGATGTTTCTCTAAGGTAAATCTAATTAAAAATATTAATGCATAATAAATTCATTAAGATATTATTAAACAAATGATTGATACATTTTATAGAAATCCTGAAACAGCTGCATTCTTTGCTTTCAAATCTATTAGGAGCCGACTGAATAGAGAAAGAACAAAAAACAGACCAAAACTGCCACAATCTATGTTATATAATACATAATAACTATGCTTGCTCATGAATTAAATCATTATACACCAATGAGTCATGTTTATAAAGGATGTGTAACCTCATGTGATGGGGAAAAAGCATTGTTATTCTCTGATGAGAAATTACTCCGAGCACTTGAATCATGTACCGAAATTTATTGTGACGGTACATTTTCAGTAAGTTTAATATCCAAACAATGTACACACATTATTAATACTATCATATTAATACTATAAGTTAAGTGTGGCAGCCACCGAGCGCCAGTCAAACGCGGACCCGCCGTACTACCTGAGACGCGCGCGAGCACACCCGCGAAGTTTCTCGCAAGTGCTCGCGACGCGCGAATTACTGGTACTGCGGCCGCACCCCTAGGGGGCTGGCGCGATTAACTCAGGCTCGCGTTTAAGATCCGCCGGCGGGGGAATATAAGCCCGCCGGACCAGCGACAAATCGCTCAGTGCCCACCGCTCTCACAGACGCCTACAGTGCCAGTGCGGAATTGACAGCAAACTGGAGAGGCAGAGGACGAGGCCCAGCAGGGTACCAGCCGGTCCGGTACAGCAACAGCACCAGCAGCAGCAGCAGACTCCACCGCGACGAGGCAGGGCAGTGTTGTTAGATGGGACGGATTTCTGGCGCATGCGCATTCAATGTAGGCTCATTAACGTACCGAATCACTAGTAAATAGGAGATTATTAGTCGCCTGTGTAAAATTTTTTCAAAAATGTTACAAATTTTAATATATTTGACATATTTGACATATGTATACATA